CGGATAGAGGGGAGTAGCTGCGTGGCCTCCCTGGTGCTTTGGGAGGCCGTGAGCCCTCCCCAAGCCCCTCACATACTCCCTAGGCTGAGACCCCACACTCCCAACCCCCTCACACATACCCTTGGCTGAGACTCTGCACTCCAAGCCTGTTCACTCACATCCCACCCCAAGCTGAGACCTCTGACCCCTAATCCCCTCACTTCACCACCCTGCCAAGACCTCACATCCCCAGCACCCTCACTTGCCTGTTTCACTAAGACCCCACACCCACGACCTGCTCTAGCACCCTCCCCCGTGGCCAGACACCTCACCAGAGACAGGGGGATTGGCGAGCATAGAGAGCAGGAGGCGCAGCCCCCTAGTAACCGATAAGTGAAAGTCAAATGGATGCATATGCATACTGTTAAATCTATTACAAGGCAGAAATCTATTTTTACACTAGGAAGTTGAAATTAAAAGCACATTTAAGAACTCTCACTTTTTTCATGATACTAGCAAGAAGATCTGGACAAAAAGGGGCTTCATTACATTGTAAGTCATGCCAGTGGTGAGAAATACTATTAAAGAATTACATGCCTACGTGGGAAAAAAATTGAATTAAAACAGATGAAAAAGCAAACCATACTTCTCTGCTTCTAGCTGAGCTTTTTCTGCTTGACTTCTTGCATTGCGACATTCTTGTTTTAATCTCTCCAACATTTCCTTCAGCTTTTGATTAGACTCAAGCAAGTCGCTTTCAGACTGAGACAGTGAGGCCACTTGGAGTTGTAAATCATTAATTTGCTACCAAAGAAATATGTAAGCTTTTATTGGACATAACACAGCCCAGAAGTGAGAAATCAACACTCAAATTATTGAAGCATCACAGACAAATTTAACAAAATAAGTCAATTATGCAAAAACACAAAGAGCCAGGTTTGTGACCCAACTTTAAATGACTGTGAAGGGGAGTATGATCTCTGCACTCCCCTGCATAACCTCCCTCCATGTCAGCTGCAAGTGTAGAAAACACAAACAATTTTTTTTTAACGTGAACAAATTTTTGCCACACATTTAACTCAAAAATCACTAAATGGATTGTCCTTAAACTCTAAAAAAACAAACCACAAGCAGATTCACCTCCTGACTGTAAACAACTATGAGAAATTTTAGTCCAAAAGGGATTTTTTTTTTTTTGGTGGGGTAAATTACATGTGTCTGAAACCAAGGGCACATAATACGAGTACCTTTTCACCCATAACATAGCTGTTATGAAATTTTAGAAGATAAATGTAAATTGCAGAAGTTTTGGAGTATTAGACCACACTTAAAATCTGGTAATTAATTGAATCTCATGCAAGTGCCAGAATTATAAATTTAAATCTCTTTCATAAATCTCTTTCACAGTGTCAACAGTGAAAAATACTATGTATTGTTTTTTGTGTTAGAAGATTGCTAGGTAACCAAACCTGGGCTTTATTTCGCCTCCATGCTTATCTGGAAGAGAGCATTTGCGCAATAGGGCACAGCACTCACTTTCTTCTTAAGTTAATGTGTGGGATTTTCAGGAGTGTTAAGTACCGGTCTGACTCCGCTCCCATTGAAGAAAGAATTTTTACCAGACTTCACCTGGAGCAGAGTTTGGCCAATACTTGAATATTTTTGATAGTTTTACTGACTTTTTCTATGAGAAATGAGCTTTTTAAGAGACAGTTAGTTACTAATGTCTTTTATCTGAACTGATCTTTCTCACTGTAGACATCTACCTATTTTTCCTTTCAGCTGAAACTGTGATTGGTAAATTCACTCTGGCTAAATAAGTAGCCAGCTTTTTCAAAGATACAGCTTTATAACTGGATTTTATGGAAGCATGAAATACGTACTGCAGTCCCCTTTTCCTTAAGGTTCTGTTAGGTTAATTAATTACACAGGAGACAACATGGCTTTTCAGGAGTTAGGAAATTTAGGATTGTATTTTTATACACTGTTACTAGTTCATGGTGCAATTCTGGTAAGCCATTTCACCTGAGTTTATTCACCTATGTTTGTAAAGTATTTAGATACCCTTGGGAGAGAGGCACAATGTAAATGCAAAGTATTGTCCAGAAGCAACTTATAAGAGAGTGCATCTAATACAACAGGGCTTAACTTGAAATAATCTACGCAAATTGAGCTACATCAATTGCATAGCTTATTTCGAAATTGGGAGTGTCTATGAAGCACTTATTTCAAAATAGAGCACTCTTCCTCCAACTTCCTTTACTCCTCATACAATGAGGGTTACAGGATTTGGGGTAAGAAGTCTTCCAGCTTGGCAGTATTTTGACATTATTTCAAAATAACGCTTGGTTATTTTGAAATAACACTCTTGTTTAGATATAGGCTTAGTGTATAGAACCTGGGTCTCCAGTTAACAGTATTTATTAGGCCAAAGGACCAGCAACATTCTGAGTTCTGAAATTGCGAGAATACACAAATACTTTGATAAATCAGTTGATATGGGCTCAGAAAATGCCTGCCCTCTATACATTTTTGCACACAATTTTAAAAAGGATTAAAAAAAATGTTTCACTATAAATCATAAGAGTTTGAAATCTCAGAGGAGTAACTGAGTTAGTCTGTAGCTTTAAAAATAATCCTATGGCACCTTAGAGACTAACCAAAATATATAGAATCATGAGCTTTGTGGGTAAAACCCACTCAATCACATGAATTGGAATGGAAACCAAGAGACATATATAACACCAAAAGTAGTACCTGTTACTTGTAGGACTCACGTTAAGTGATGGTTGTGTCCCATACATAGCTTTTGATGTGGAAATGCAGATGTTAATGGAGGAGATATTGGTTTTGTAATGTGCCAACTGATTCATGTCTTTGTTTAGGCCCAAGGAAACTGCAAATCTGTACATTAAATCAATTCTGCAGATTCTTTCTGTAACTGGTTAGTGAAATTCCTTTGTACAAGAATGGCTACTTTTAAATCCATGACTGAGTGGGTCTAGGTAGGTTAAAATGTTCCCTTACGGGTTTGTGTGTGTTACCATTTCTGACGCCTGATTTGAGTCCGTTTATCCTTTGTCGCAGAGATTGTACGATTTGGCCAATATACGTTGCAAAGGGGCATCGCTGGCATATATCACATTAGAGGATATACAACTGTATGAGCCCCTGATGTTGTGGCTTATGTAGTAAAGTCCTGAGATGGACCACAGAGTTTTGATTTAAACAAATTAAGAGATGAAGACCTTTCAAAATAAAATATCAGAGAGCGATACAAATGCTTACCTGTTTAAGATCAGTATTTTCACTTTTTTCTTTTTCTAACTCCTCAGATTGAATAATTTGCTGTTGAAGTTTTAACCTAAAATTCAATATAGGTATAATTATTTTTGTCTGAATAAAAATGTAACTATTCTAGAAGGTAACTATTCAGATTGTTAGTAGTTAAACACGTCAATCTGTTTAACCTTTTGCAAGGCTGATGACTGAATAATATATTCTAGCATTAATTATAAAAGAAGTCATGTTTCTACTGTATGATTAGCACTATACTAATGTCAAGGATTCCTATGTTTTGCCTCATTTTATACATCCTTGACTTAACCCTGAGGTGCATGGACGTGACAAAGTTGTAGAACATCACTTTGACAATTGCTAAGATAAAACTTGTACAAAACAGAGAGCATATAGAGGAGGAGCATCAAATAAGGGCCTCCTGATTTGTCACGTTACAAAAGCCCAACTTGGGGAGGGGAGGTGAAAGAGTGCTTTCATCTGCTGTGGGCACCAGAAGATCAGTTTTTAACATTTAACTAATTAAAACAATTACTTAAACATCACTTATTGAAAAAAATATATATATTCTGCAACCTACTTGGAGTTTTGTTTTTCAAACTATAAATTCTTTGTTTGCCTTTTTTCTGCCAGAGTGATCATACTGATTGGTGGTATAATTTAACAACACCCTATTCCTTAAGTGTAATCCTTTTTACTGAATATAAACAAAAAAACCAAACAATATTTCAAAAATATACATTGTATATTTTAAACAAGTTTTTTTTTAAAAAAACACATACATTACCTAACATTCTGAAGCTCCCTTCTGCTAGACTCTTCTGCCAGCTGCATAACACGCAATTTCTCTTCATATTCATCCTTTTCAGATTGCCTCCAAGCATCTTGTTCAACTTTCATTTTTTCTAACTCTGCTAACCTGTTCTCAAGTTCTAATCTGAAATAATATTCAATATTTACACAAGAACTATTACAAGGACAAAATGACGGCAAAAATATGCAGTTAAATGTAATATTAAAACAAGTTGTTTAACTCATGCTCTACCCTATTCTTTTTTTAAAAAGGAGCAGTAAAAAAAAGAGAACATACTTCTCTTCCTGTAATGCTGCAAGTTTTTGAAAGCCTTCTTCTCTGGCAGCTTGTACTTTACGAATGAGCTCACGATCCTTTTCTACTAAAAGCACTTTGTGACGTTCGACAGCTGCCTTGAGAATTTCATTGTCTGAATGCAATCCTGTTTTATACAACATATACATCAGCATGAAATATTGAATGTATTAAATATCATTTTACAAACACTGATTAAAAATCAAACTATCTACTGTTCACGCACAAATATTCAAGCATTTTAAAGACATGAAGGGCATGTCTAGACTATGTTTTAATTTCCCTGGGAGTTTACATATCTTCATCGGAGCGTTTTTAAAGTGGGTCTTTTTAAAGTGAAAGTAGTATGGACACTTTTTCGGAAGAAAAACCTTTTTTAAAAAAAAAAACAAACCCTGCTCTTCCTTAAAAAAGGAGGTTCACGCAGTTTTTCGAAAAAGGGTTTTTCTCCCCTCGAAAAAAAGCATCCAGACTGCTTTCACTTTCGAAATACCCGCTTTCGAAAAAGCAATTGGAAGATTTCTTTAATTTCTTTCTAAATTAAAACGTAGTCTAGACATGCCCAAAATGTCATGCCTTATCATTGTTAAATAACAATACTTTAAAACAGACAGCACATTTAGAGGCCAATTCTTATGTAATAATTACTAACCGTTTTTCTAAAAATACTAAAATAAACAGCTCAGACTTGCATTAAGACCCGAGTCTGCTATTTAGATTTACTAAACAGCCATATTAACTAAATAAATGCTTCTGGATAAAACATTCCATTGTGGATATGGAAGGGTTAAGAAAACAAATGCATTATACCTACAGAGTATAAGCAGAAGTTGATAGGAAACTAATAATAAAATCACTAATGGAACTTTAATGAACTGGTTAGCGCATAGAAGTGAGAGAAAAATATTGTGTATATTTAAAACCTCAAACTCTGATGTACCACATACCAGTAATAAGGGACAACAGATTTGTGGAACTATCAACAGTAGTGGCAAAGTTATCAACCATAGTCATTCAGAATCACAAAATAGGGAGAAGAGTGAAATGAGAAAACTAACGTGATATTCAGAGCCCATGTACTCAGGCAATCCAGTAAGAGATTGGAAATTCTACAATAGTTTCAGGTAAGTTTAAAACTGAAGGGTTATGTGGTAGGGATGTGAAAAGTTAATCAATAATTGTTGGGGGCTAGAGCAGATCCCCACCTGCGAGGGCAGAGGGCTGCTCCAGTCCTACAGGGGGTCTGCCACAGACAAGGGCTGCTTTCATCCAGAGCAGCTTCCATCCACAGGGAGCCCAGCTGCCCCACAAGCAGGGGACTAGGAGATGGTTGTAGCTCCGGCCCCCGCATCTTGAGATCTGCTCCAGCCAGGTTGGAGCGATTCTCCACCAGGATCCTGCTTAGGCAGTTAACTGGTAAACTGATTAACTGTGATTTTTTTTACACCCTAGTTTGTGGAATTAAATATCAAAGTAAGTAATTAAATATACACGTTACATATTTTAAAAGTAAATTAATTGTTTTACTTTGTTCTTGCATTTTCAGTTTTCAATAAACTGTGTACACATTTTTGTATTCACAGTAAATAACTATATTTCTGTATTTCTTGAAGTTTTTTGGAGGGAAGAGAGAGGGACAAGGGAGAGAGTTAGAGATTTTGACAGCTGCTTTTTTCATCCAGGAAAATGAGGGATTTATTTTGGGATTGCTGGATAAAGTGAAAAAATTCTGCTAAAATGCTTCAGTGAACTGTGTTGATATTTAAAGTGCCTCCTGAAAGCTTTGGCATTTACACCCCCCAAAACTATTATATTTTCTTCAAATGAAAGCCTAGATCCTTGAGTTTAGCCCTGTGGCAAGTTCCATAGCTCTAGAATAACAGAATATAGGAGGTCCTGGTGGCAGTCTTCTATAGGCATAAAAACCTTAGTTCAAAACACTAATTATAATAGAGAAAAAGACAATGGCTATACAATTTGGCAAGATTCAATAAAATTGACAACACATGGTATGTAATATGCAAATAAACACAGATTATGCTAAAATGTCTCCCGGGTTCATTACTTACATAAACTGGGAGTCATTCATACACACGCTCTATACTTGATGGATAAGGGCATACAACAATGTTTTTAGACAGCAAATTAATTTTCAGATTGACTATCTGCACTAGACTAGACTGTTTCTTCTGAGGTTAATTTTTATTGTAGTGTGATAGGAGCTGCAAGTTTTAACAGAAACCATTAGAAACTAATTACACATTACCATCCATTTCGCTTTGAATCTTGTTTCTCTCTCTTTCTACCTCACTCTTGGCTCTTGCTGCCTCCAGTCTGACATTAGTTACTTCTAATTTGTGTGAATGCTTAAGTTCATCTACCTGTTAATTAGAAAATAAAACCAAATCACTAATATTACATCCTAGCCATTACTATGATCCAAGCTTTTATATAACATCTTGCTTACGATAAAATACTTTAAACAATGGCAATCGATGCTTATTGCAGAATATATACAGTTTGAACCTCCCTGGTCCAGCACTCTTGGGACCTGACAAGTCTCAAACCAGGAGAAGACAGCGTGGCTCAGGACTCCCCTTTTTGCCAGCCATCTGGGGTTCTGCTCTCCTCCCCAGGCTGCCCTATTGCCCTGATTTTCCCCAACTACCCTGCTTTCTCTTGGCAGCAGCTGAGGCTTCACTTTCCCTTGGTGGCTCTGCTGCTCCCCAGCCACCGAGAGCTCCACTTTCCCCTGGAGGCTCCACTGCTGCCTGGGCCTGCACTTTCCTCCAGCCCCCGGGGACTCTGCTGTTCCCTGGCGTGCTAGCCCAGCAACACTCCTCGCTCCAGCCTGATGGCTTGTCCCAGTGAGTGCTCCCATGAGGTCACTGACCATGCCAGACCAGGGGTGTTGCCAGACTATATAAGGCCTGATTAGGAAGGTTCAACAAATTATTTTCATCCACTGTTTTTCATACAGCCACTTCAGAGTAACCAAGCATCCAGATTAATGATGTTATAAATCCCATATGCCCATAGCAATAAGGCTATTAATATAAAGGCATTCCCGGAGATACAAATATCTGACTTACAAACATCCACACATAGAAACCAAAACTCATTTACAACCTCAAAAAGGGCCATGCTTAGGATTATGGAGCCCTACGCAGTACTATTAAACTGGTGCTCCTATGCTCAATGGCACCTTAGGGGGCGGCGATGGAAGAGGGGCAGGGGAAATCACAATTTTTTAGTGTTGTGATTTTATAATCTTCAGAAATACACTAATGAAATATCTTTAAAGCAAATCTTAAACTAAGGCCATATTCACACTGGCATCTGTAAAGCGCTGGCAGTTACAGCACTGCTCACAGAGTGCAGCAGTGAAAAGGCTATTTGGTGTCCACAGTGTCAGCCACCAGTGCCTTCACAGAGTACCTCTTCCACTTCCACTACTGAGATTTGTGGGAAGGTGGATGGGAGGCATGGTCCTATCCCTGGGGTTCCACGGAACACCATTTGGGAAACATTGATCTAGGAGTTACAGATTGCTACCTAGTGTTCTTCTTACAATTGTTCATTAATTTTAAAATAATTTGAAACCAGATGCATCTTTTCTGAAACTGTAATGCATAAAATTGCCTCATAAAATAAGTAGGTTTAAATTGGACAGCAAATCACTAACGGTAATTGCTGCCTACATGAAAATTTCTATAGTTTAGGTTCTTACTGCACAGTAATTACATGGTCAGTGAGAATTAAATATCTGGAGGAAAGCACTTATAATGAAAATCCATTTGCAATGACAAATGTAATTACAACCTGCTAGCACTTACGAGTTGTAAAAGGTTAAGAATGACACAATAGCTTATTAAGTAACTACACTGTGGATTTGGGATGCTTAAATATGAACTTGAGAACATCTTAAAACACTATTCAGCAAATACTTAAGGCTCTTTCTGAGGCACAAACCCTAGAGGATACATAAATCACCTGTGCATTCAAATGCATGCATTCTTGGAGCAGACATGCTTAGGTGGAAGTTTTTACCTTCCAATAACACTACTACCTAGTCAAACTCCTCAACACTTCTGTGGTCTTACAAATAAGAACACAAGCCCAAGGCTTCATGCTCTTGTACAGCTTCTGATGGGAAGCAAACTAAGGATGTGAAGGAGTAGTCGATTACCTGATAAGCAGGAGCTTATCAGGTAGCACTATCAACTACTCCACCACTCTCCTTCCTTCCACTCCACCCTACACTCTTAAAGGGACAGAGTGGAGCTGGTGTATAAAGACGCCGGCTCATTTTCTGGTCCCCTGCTAGGTCTCAGGATAACCCTCACACTGCCCTTCTGCATTTTTAAAAGAGACACAGCAGTGGCAGTTGCTCCTTCTTCCCCACCCCCACACATGCGCTGCGCCTCTGCATTTTTTAAGGGACACAACAGCAGCATCCAGTCTGTTTGTCTGTCTCAGCACAAGCCAGCTGCTGCATCCCTTTAAAAAAAAAATACAGAGTGGCAGCATGAGGGTTGTCCTGAGACTCAGCAGAGGACCAGAGAATGAACCCACATCTTTGCATGCCAGCTCCTCTCTGTGCTTTTTAAGAGTGCATAGTGGCAGCCAGCAGTTGTGCTCAGTTGTGCAGCCTGAGCTGGAAGTGAGCACTTAATGTGCCTTTCCTTAACAACTAGTCGATGGAAATTCCATTGATTACTTGACTAGTAAATTAATCAATACTTAACATCCTTAGAGCAAACAAGACAGAAAAGGGATGGAAGGGCAAGACAGTGTTTAACTCATTTTCCTTTTTTAAAACATTATCTGACACACACTTTCGTGTTTAACTCATTTTCCTTTTTTAAAATATTATCTGACACACTTTTTGGGAGAGGGGTTTTCTTCTTATTTGCTCATACAATGTCTATCTTGATAGAGCCCCAGATGCTACTGTAATATAAATAAAAAGATCAAACTATTAGATAAATAAGAACTAGTTGTGGCATGTTACGGGAGTAGGTTTCACGTGGATTGTTTGGTGCAGTTTTATCCTCTCCCTACAGAAGGTTAGACTTTTCATGGGGAAACATAGTTCAGGGTCGAGGTCTTTTTGGTTGATTTGTATTGTAAGTATTGGGTATACTTAAGCTCATCTTGAACCAGTTCTGGGACTGTTATATTTGGACTCCTCCGCTCACATTTCTCATATTAGATGTCTAATTTTTTTACTCATATTATGGTGAAAACAGCTGCTCAATAATGTAACATTTTGAATGGTATGTTTCAGCTGCTCAATAATGTAACATTTTGAATGGACATGTTTATTATTTTGGAGGGTATGTTCCCAAAGGCAGTAGACTAGTGTTTCAGATTTTGTTTCTGGTTTAAAAATTTTTTAAAAGAAAACTGCATTGAAGGTATTCTGAATAATAATGTGTACGTAAGACCATAAGTTGTGAATCTGTGGACATCTCAGAAATGATGTGGGCAACGTAACCACAGTCTCTCCAGGAGAAACTGAAAGTATTAAGGTTTACTTTGTAGAATTAATTTCTATTGGAATTTTCTCCAAGAAGTCGTGGGGAGAAGTGGTGAACATTGTTAAATTAATGTCTGTCCAAGCAGTGATTAGAATTCTGGGTCATATTTATCTTTTATATAAACAGCTAATTTGTTTCTGTATCATTTGGTGGTATTGAAAATCTATTAATAATTTAGTTCTGCCTGTGTGTCTAAATCTGCTATATTTAGTTTCACCTCAAATGTGGTGTGGTAAGAAAGTGAGTGATGCAGTAACTGAACCAAAAAAAATTTCTGAGTTTCCATTTGGTACTGTTGGGTCAACTCAGATTATTTTAGGTCTTGTTCCCATTTATTTGAGGAAAAAAGTAATAGAATAGCAACTAGATGTATACTGGTTGGAACAACAAAATAAGAATCTTAATTTCTTTAAGCATTTCCAGATACTTAAGTTGTTTTCTGTCCATAAATTACTCTGAAAGTGTTATGATCTGTTTAATTAGCGTCAATTAAGGATGCTAATTTCAGAAGTTTTAACTATTTTAACCACAATTTGCCACATACTTCCTTCACTTTAAATCTTTCTATCTCCTTGAATGACCGATACTCTTCATAAATAAAACATGAGAAGAATTCTCTATTTCATGTTTGCATTAAGCCCCACACTGAGGCAACTCTTTCAATTGAAAGGAACAAAGAGAACTTATTCCTACTCAACAGTAGGAGGCCACAGCTGTTATCCAGTAATATACTACACATTGGTTCACCCAAATATTGCTTTCTTTATTGACAAAGACTTGAAAACAACAGACTTGAAAACTAATACCTGCACACTTTCAGCAAATTTTGTTATTTTTTTAATCTGTAATCATACTGTCACTGTGGTCCAGGATTGATTTGCTCTAGTTATAGGACATGGATAACAAATTTCTTGTTCCCAAGGAAATGCAGAGGCTTGGTTTTTTACATACGATTCTACATTATATTTTCTGATATTCAAACGAGAAGCAAAGCTAACATTAAATCAAATATTGTTTGTTGAAAATTAAGTTCTGTTTTGACTGCTAGAAGAAAGCTACCAGGTAAGCATTTTTTTAGACCAGTTCCACGAGAAAAGGAAAATACAAAACAGAGTTCTTTACTTCAGTCTATAAAGTGAATGATTCATTAGACAAGTAGTATTGCTCTTGTTCTTAGCTAGAATTATTTTTTTAAAAAAATCACCAGAAACCAAATCTTGATAATCCAATTTTTTTTAATTTCAAGTTCTAGCACTGTTTGTTTAGATTTGTTACTACAGCCTGATTATTTTTACTAAAGTAAGAAAACACAACCCTTATTTGATAGCACAAAGTATATTTTATTAACTGTTAGAAAAACCTAGTATGGTATTAAAACATGGCTCTTTAAGCACCATATTATAAAAAAAACAAAATAAAAATCCGCAAAATGAGATAAGGATAAAATTTCAGCCTCCAGAGACAATTATAGTGATGTTTATCTGTAGCATTACAGATGCCATATGTGTCCTGCCAGCTATAATTAAACAGCATTTATTACAGTTACTATAAATTCCGAAAGGGAAAAAATGAAGTATGGTTTTAAAAAAAGTCAGATGAAACTGCCCTTTCTCAGCATGAAACCAGATGTGAAAATATATTGCTGATATCAGGAAAGTACTTACTTTAGTGGTCAAGGCATTGATTTCTCGTTCAGCTTTGTGCAATTTACTGGTTAAGAGAGTATTCTGCTCATTACTCATTTGTAGTTCTTTTTCAATGTGATCAGTCTGGAGCTTAGCTGACTGCTTTTCTGCCTTGAATTAAAAAAAAAAAGTATTTATAAGCTCTTTAGAGCAGCAACTCTTTTTTGAGATTGCGTTATACAGTGTACAAATGTGAGTCCCAATTTTGATGAGGGCTTTTGGGCATTACCAGCTTACATATGAATATGTAATAGAGGCTTGTTACACAATATGTTCAGTCTCTAATTTACTCCGAGTAACACTTGTTCTCC